GGCCCCCAACATGGTGTGGGGCAGTGGGGGGCAGCAGGGATTGCCCCCCGCTGGCAGGAAGAGTGAGTGCATGGTTTTTCTCTTTTTTTTTATTATTATTAAAGGGCTAGAGCTGTGGTGGGAGGAGCAGCCATTGGGGGGGCTGGGACAGTGGTGGGGGGTTAGGGGCTCATGCAGCATGGTGCAGTGGGGGGCAATGGGGATCACCCCTGCACCCGGCAGGATCCAGTGAGTTGGAGCTTTTTTCCCCAAAGAGCTGGGAGCTGGGGTGGGTGGGGCAGCCATTGCTAGGCTGGGAGAGCGGGTGGGGGGTGGGCCTGGGTGATTCGACTGAATCGAATCAGGACAGTGATTCAAATCACCAAATCGAATCACTCTCCCTCGAATCAGCCAAATCCGAATCCTAAGTGAATACTAGCTGCTTTGCACAGGCCTAATATATAGTTACTTGTAGTTTTATCTATAGACATTTTTGTGGAGCCAGCTTTAAGACTGCAAGGTAAGATACTGATCAGAACCAGGTTTACAGTGCTTACTTACCTGTCCCGTGTGCTCTGTTTCATCTTTGTTAATGAGATACATCAGAAAAAACCTACAAAACAAAGAAAAGCTTGTCAGAAGCAAAGCATGTGGGAATATAAAGGCAACATGGACAGACAGATGGATGTTTACCATTACATTTCATAGGGTAATAAAAATTCTGCTAATACATGTAAAACAATGTTTCATATACAATATTTATATAGACACAAAAACTAAACAGAGTCTCTAGATAAACTGACTGAAACACTATAAGAAGCTCATTATGGTTTCATAAATCCATCTTGCAGCTGAAATGCTTTCCCAATGCCCTTGGCAGAAGTATTATAGCTACAAACATTTTCTTGCCTCAGACAAGTAAATTGGGTCTAACTGTAGACACTAGGATTGGCAAAGAGTCATTAGGACTTCTTCCATGAGTAAAGGCATTACTAAAAATGTTAAGGGTAGTGGATATTTTCTTTGACCTTGTCTAGGAAAACAGGCAATACTAATGATAAAGATATAATAGCAAAGACAAATCAAAGACAGTCCAGTAAAGGGCAAGGAAAATGGTTAGGGGCGTGGCGGACACGGTGTATAATTTCCAAGACTTTTTAAAAACAAAACAGAAACAGCTGAAATTCCGTCACTTGGAACTATATTGGCAGCTACGTAAGTCATAAGCAGGGTTGGAAACTTTAAAGCAATGGCACAACCCCAGCCATTTGACTTAGCAGAGTAACTGAGAGTAGCAGTAGGTGCTCATTCCCTGTGTGGACCAACACTAGAGAGGACAGACACTTTACCAGAGGATTTCAGAGATTTTTGCTGCTGGCAGTGAAATAAGGACACTTGAAGATCTTGGATTCAGAAACTGGGCTCCTTCCCTGACTCTAGAGATCAATGTGGTCAAGTGTTGTTGACCTGTCTGCCCCTCTTCATCCAAAAAATGACCCTTAATGTCCTTATCCATTTTAGCGTGTCTCTTTCCTCCCTAGCTCCTTATTCTGGACTTCATCTTGACTCCATCTCACCCCTATTTCCTTACTCAGACAACCCCCTCTCCTCCCATCCAGGCTCCTAGTTCCATTCTTTCTACCTCTCAGTTCCTTGTCTTAGGGGTGCTCTTGCTCAAAAGTCCTAGTCTACTTCCACATCCCTATAGCCATGTAGACTGAGTTATATATTCATTCCACTTTTGCTATGAAATAATGTAAATTTACTCCATAGTAAATATAAATAGTTTATAAAACAGATAATCTTCTTGCTTTCAGGTCCTATATTCAACACCACGGTCAAAAAACAGCTAAAAGTTGCAATTGCACGGAAAGTCATACTCATACCCTGCTACTCTGGCCTGAATTATGTTCAGTGCATATAGAACTTTGAAAATTTAGCTACCAAACTCTAACAAGTCTCTGATGTTCATGTATGAACTGAAATTTTTCAAAGCCATGGAGCCTGGTAAGATTTAGTTACATTTTCCTGGGAATAGAGTACAACCTTGACACAATCGTGATCAAATGCCAAATTGCAAGCCTTTGCTTAATTGCTGTTCCTCCCTTGTATTATTGACCTGGCACATTAATTGTGGGGGATGATGGAGGTCATGAGTTACAAAAGAATTAGTGATTATTGTACTTACAGATAGTTGGCCAAGTTGTGCTCCTGTAGCGTGTGTGTTTCAAAGCCATGCGGCACTGTATCAAAGTAGTCATTTCCTATCCCACAAATAAAGCATTTGGTCTAAAAAAATATAATAGAAAATACTCATGTAGCTTCTTTGAGAAAATCCAGGAAGCATGCAGTAAATTACTTGGAGATTCCAATACAGCATGTAGAACAAAAAGCTTTTCCTTTAAGGACTGAGACCAGAAAACACAGCCAAATACTTTGAATGGATATTTAATTGCTGTCACAATCACTTTGAGCTGTTTGTTAAAAAATCTTTGGCACCAATAAGTGAATGAGAACACATCAGGAGAAAGAATGGCATGAATTAATCAAAGCTGAAAAGCAATTTTTCCTTCCTGTGCTCTGAATGTAGGGGTCAATATAGTCCATAACAATCTGTACCTCAACGGTAGTTAAGTTTACCCAGCTGAAATTGAATATGCTCTCAGTTGAGATTACACAACACAGCAGGTACTTGATACCTTCCAGAATTCTGACAGTCACATTTAAATAAGAAAAGAGAAAACCTCAAGGTACAGCGTACTTTCACCTAGGTTCTACAAAAAAATATACACCTAAGGTTTAAAAAAAAAAAAATCAATCAGTCAAAAATAAAATGAAAGCCCATTGCAGTGGATCAAACTCTTAGTTCTATTTGTGTGGTTTCATGAGTTACAAATGAGAGCAGAATTTTGCTCACTGCTCTGCACAACAATACACCTTTTATAGTACTGCAAATCGCATCCTCTCCTGTCAGCTTAAAAACTATTATTCCCTGCATAGTTCACATTTTGATAATACTTTCACGTAGCTAGTACTTTTCTGTAAGTGCCTTACAGCTCAGCAACAAGGAGGTTATAACTTCTTACCTCCATGTCTTCTTTAACTTGCTCTTGTTGGTCTCTCAACTCCCCAAAAGCATCAATTATTAAACCTGGTGTTTGAATAAAAATGAGACTTAGCATTCATGGGTAGAACTGTGAGGAAACCCTAAAAATTGAGGCAGATTTCTGACAATATAAAATCAACTGAGTTCCATGCAGAGCTAGTACATAAATGCATTTAACTGATTAGAAGAGACAAAGTGAGCACTTGAAACCTAGCTGACAACAATCTTTGATTTTGTACAATGTATTTTCAGCAGGTTCTTGGACAAGTGATTTCCTGTTTTAGGTATAAGAGGATTAGCTTTGACTATTGTATGGCAGGCTAAAGTAGGCCAACATTTATGCAGCAATGGGGCTATTAATACTAAGCATTATACTAGTATATATTTGCAGTGTTTGCAGATTTATTGTATGAATGCTATAGAAACAACTATGGGCTATGTGCATGTTGTTATCCCCATGTGTGTCATTTAATAATGGAGTGTCATTAACAGCACTCCATGGAAATCATGGGCGACTTTTTTTTTTTTCACACAGAGACAGGAAAAAGAAGAGGAAATAAAAGCTGCACTAAGGTCAGAGACTAAGATTACAAAATTAAATGTTGGACTCTTAAGTCAGCACTAATTCTGCTGGAGTTGAAGAGCTGCACTGCTTTAACACAGGCAAGATGCATATTGTACCTGATTTTTAGAATAAAGGCCTTTCAACTACCTCCAATGTCATACAAAGGGATTTCAGCTAAACATTTTAAAATTAATTTAGAAATCAACAGCCAGACAGTGCAGATGATAGAGCACAGAGTTAAAGCTTCAATCTCAGCAAGGTAGCTCTCATCCATACCTTGTTATTCTACAGGCATTAAGTAGTCAATTTGACAGCTCAGTTAGTAAGCAGACAATGTGATACTGGGTACTATATTACTATCAGCCTTAACAGCAACACCTCTATCCTAAAATCCACCTACTTTGGCATATCCTTAGATTAATATTCAAGGATTCCAAATGAATCATATGTATCTTCTCTTTTTTGATTTAGGTTAGCCTTTACAAGAGAGGCAATGGTGAACATTATGGCATGGACACACATAGCACTTATAATGGTCTAAATTTAGTTTAAATCAGAAGAAGATGGACATACAGGCCTGCTAAACTGGTTTAAATCTGACTGAAATGATTCAAAAGTGTACCTGGAAAATCAAGTACTGTTTTGAACCAGTTCAGTGTTGTGTATGATGCATGGATTTTAGTTCTTTTAGTTCTTGGACACACCAGTGACCCTCCACTTCAGAGCAGACTTGATTAATCAAGTCTGCTCCACACAGGAGCTGACACGCACTGCACTGCACCGCTTGTAGTTGTATAAGCAGTGAAATGTGTGTCAGCATGAAGAAACAGCATAAAGAAAACAGCACATTTGAACTAAAGCACCTCCACGATGTTTTAGTTCAAAAGCACACCACTGCCAATTTCTTTGTGCTGACACACATTTTGCTGCTTATACAATTGCAAGCATTACAGCACCGGGCACTTTTTGAAGCGGCCAGTGCTGCGCCGCTTGCATGTGTAAAAATGCCTCAAGTGTTCTCAGACATAGACCCAGTTGGTCCTCCAGGCATCCTACGCTGCATTACTCTTCCTCCCCCACAAACATGCTGCTGCAACTGGCCACTTTGGTACATAGCCATAATGTTACTGTCCCCCCCCCCTCCCCTTACCCCTGCATTTATTCCCCTTTTGTTGGCACTTTTAATCCATGAATTCCCTTACATTGCCTGTTCAACAGAAGCTATCTTTATAACATCCATTTTTGTGCTCCCTCTCAGCTCAACTGCAGCCCCTCATCATGCCCCCCAAGCATCTGGGAATCAAAAGCATGGGTCTCAGCATTCCCCTACCCAAATCGGGCAAGCACACTGCAGACTTGGGTCAACTGCAAGCTATTGGAGTTTATTCAAATCATATTTAGGAGAGAAGGGAAAGCAGAAATGTGAAAAAGTCCACTGCCACAGGTCACCCACCACTGGGACCTTGAAAGTGTTGGTGCAAGCACTCCCACCAGGAAATCCCAGTGTCAAAAAAAACCTGCTGTTAAAAAAAAGCAGCATGGCACATGTGCCACCAGAACTGAAGCATGGCTGGCCAAAGCCACACTCTAGCTGTTGAACACGCTCCAAGTAGATAGATTGCTGCTACTGATGCCCCAGGAAGCCTCCAAGACCCCAGGTAAGGCATCCACAGATGATGGCCCCAGCCTCCCCTATCCTACCTGGGACATTTGCCCTGCACCAACCTGACTTGCAGGGGCATGTGCAGCAGCAAAAAGCAGCAGCTCAGATTTGTGCCTGTGCTATTTTTGCCACAGCAACCACACACCCCTGCACGTGGGGACTCATCCTATGAGTCAAATCCTTTTTTTGATAATTCAAGAGGCAAAGAAAAGGACTGCAGGTACATCACCACTTCTTCTTTCTTCTACTGTGTGAAGGTTGTCCTGTACCATCACCCTGGTATCTTAATACCTTAGAAGTAGGCCTCCTAGAATGGATCCAGAAATGATAATGGCTAAATTGGATGACAAACCAAGCTCCACCAGGGATAATTCAGTGGAATTACTTGGCTTTTTCACTGCTGGATCATTTTTACATCTCACTCTTAATACAGATCCAAGAAAGGGACATATTCATACACACCTTACATCTCTAGCCTTGTCACGTGAACAGAAAAGTCAGAAAGAAGAAGCCACTACTGCTTTTCGCAAAATATGCAAAACTTAAAGCACTTAAGTGCCAATGGACTTAAATATGCCCTATCAATCAGTTTATCTGGATATCATCTCTCTCTCCTCTGACCTTATTCTTTCACTGATGTGGAGTTTTGCAACAAACACTTAAGGATTCTTTTTTTTTTTTTTGGTGACATTTTGACTTTTTAGCTCCCATCTGTATCAGATACGTAGAGTAATGACTGTGGCATTAAGATTCTAGTAGTTTCAAATATACTGTAAGTCTAATCATGGGCTACAAATATATACCTTGTATGATGGCTAGCAAGATGACAATTACAAAGAAGAAGAAAGTGATGTCAAAGATGATCCGATAGATTTCATATTCATCTCCTGCTGGATCCTCAATTTCATCACCAATTCCTCCACCTGCACGCACTCCAACATACATGTGAAACATGTAGCACTAGAAAACATGAAGTAAGAGTTAATTGTATTAAAGAAAATGCTTTTCAAGATTTCTCCTACTGATTATTTTATTTGTAGAGCATCTAAGAGCCACAACTTTGATTCAGGTTCCAGATTGTTAGACACTGATAAACACACAGGTTAGGGACAGAAGTTACATATAAACTCATTTAAGTGATTGGAAACTAGTTTAAACCTGTAACACAACAGAAGTTCAGTGCACATAACCAACTTCCAAAATGATCGAAACTGGTTTGAGATAAACCTGGTTGGATGTAGTATTAGACTCAATTGATTTAGGTTAAACCAGTTTATGGAACTTCTGTCCCAGATCCCTTCCCGATTCAAGTAACTCACAGTTCCCCAGCATTGCAGGGTGTTTTGCAGCCTTGGGCTGTGATGTCTGCACCAGCAGACCAAGGCTGGGCCAACCCCCAGCTATCACAGAGCTGGGGCGCTAAAGCTTCAGCTCCCTAGCCTGATTCCTGCCTGGGTCTGTCAGCCCAGTGGGACAGAGGGGCACAGCATGAAAATGAATCCACAGACCCCACTAGCACCAGGCTATACAGCAGAGGGCTGAAAAGCCCTGATGGTGGGGGCTTTTTACTCTTCCCCCCCACCCCTTACAGCCCAGTGAGCCTGGCAGGGATTGCCTCAACTCTACTCTCTCCTTAGCCTCCGCCTCCTAGGGAGGAGGACCAAACCCCTCCCTGATCCCATCTGGCACTTGCTGGGGGGGAGGGGTGGTTCCCACCCTCTTCCCCCCACTCCTCTTGGAGGCAGAGGGCTAGAGAAGTGGCAGGGCTGGAGTGATCCCAGAACAGCTTGAGCTGTGGTGTGGGGAGGGGTAAAACCCCCCCCATGGGTACTTTTCCTCCATGCAGAGCAGACCCCAGCTGAGGGGGTCAGTGTGGACAAGAGGTAAGTGTATTCCTCCCTTGGACCTTTCCCCTTGTAGGGCAATGGCTGGGGAAGGGGCAGGCTGGGATGAGCCCAGCCCAGCTGGGAATCTCCCCATTGGGTGCTTCCTCCCCACAACAGACTCCAGCTGCCAATCAGGCCTCAGGCTGCTGGTTCAGCAGCCTCAGGCAGCCTTGCCATAAGAGGTGATACATGTGAACACCCCCAGACTTCTGGCCTGGGCCAGTGAAGACTTCTGCCTGTTTTGGCCACCCAAACACTGAACATCAGTTCAGTTTGTTACTGCTTCAATCTAAGTACCTTAGAAAAAAACTGCAAAGATAGAATTGATTTTGTCTTGGGTTTTTGAACCTCTGTACTTACCCACAGAGACTGTCTATATATTGAAAACCTTTTGGTCCAAATAAACAAGAATAAAAAAAGGAAATCTCATTCTTGTATTTATTTAGAGGAGGAGAATAAAGGTATTTGGGGAATGAAATAAAACTAACCAAAGTCAGAAAACAAGTTACTGGCAGAACTGGAAATAAAAAACAGGTTCCTAACAGTCTAGTATCCTATCTACTTAAGTATGCCAACTCTTTTTTCCTTTCTATGTTTGCATATACTACAGTGGGAGTTGCTAAAGATTAGAATGGCAACATTTCCTGTTTTAAGGAAAGATCAAACATCCATTTGCTGCGAGTCAAATGGCATGCTGGGGCAGCATGGTTAAAACATACATTTCTCAAAGTCATACAATATCCTCAGTTTTATCTAAACAGATATGGTTTTGCAGTTGTTTCTACAGGCAAGAGCACACAAAGAAGCAATGGGGCTAGTATCACTTCTAGCCACCTAGAGCCACCCCAAAGGATAACCCATCAATTTTACAGATAGGTCAACTGAGACTGGTGTTAAGTATAAATTTGGAGCAAGGCATGAATTCATATTCCTGGATTCTGTAGCAAGATACCTTAACCACTCTACCGCTATATCCCTGATATAGTACTTCTATTTTTTAGAATAAAATAATGGTAAAAAGCTTAGACATTTTGGAAAATTTATGTTCTTAGATTTTGTATAGTTGGGTCTGGTGCATTAAGCATGGGGTGAGAATGTGGGAACTACCCAATACTGAGTCAGGCTTTGCATTCATATTATCTCCATTTTTGATAAGCAGTAGCCTGTCTCCCAATTAAAGTGGTGGTATTATATTTACCGATATTGTAGCAGGGCACTGAAGTGCCTGCTACTGGTGAATCAATAAGTAGGAAGCCCAGCTGCTGGTTGCCAGGGTAACCAGGGGAAGTCAGCTGACTGGAAGGGGCAAGGCCTGGCTCTTATATAACTCCCAGGCTGAGGTCAGGCAGGCAGTTCCCTGCTGGCAGCCCAGGGGGAAGGAACTCTGCTGGAGTGAATAATGAGTAGAGGCTAAACTGCAGGTACAGCCTGAGATTGGGGACGGATGGAACAACTCTGATGTGGCGAGAGGAAGGTGCAAGCCTGATGGCTTAGAGTTATGTTATAGCCAAGGGGCTTGTGTTCTGTTTACTGTTTAACCGGAGGACCGGGTGAGGCTATAAGGGGACGGAGGCGACCTCACAGGGGAACCACGATAGTGTGGGAGCCCTAGCGTGGGCAGCGGGAAGCCCTGAGCGTGGGCAGCGAGAAGCCCCAGAGCAAGGGGGCGCCGAGAGTGACAAGGGCCGTGGAGAGGCCGAGCGCCGGAGGGCACTGAGAGTGATGAGGGCTGTGGCTAAGACCAAACAACATCCAGGAGAGCTGCGAGGCTTGGGGCGTGGTACAGGGGTGGTTGGAGCCATGCATAACCCATAAGGCTGGGTGCTCGGACCCCCATTATATAAACAAGGCTCGGGGTAGCAGAAACCATGACCAGGAGGACGAGAGGCAATCTCCCCTGAATTTTTACAATATCAAGACGTGGCAGGCAAGAACAAGGGTACTTTAACCCAAACTTGGCACAGTAGGGGGCGCTAGGGGAGAGCACGGCAACCCTAGGATGTTTCCCCCTGCCCGGTACAGATATCAAATGGGTGATAATATTTACAAAGTTGTCTGAAAAATAAGCTCTCATACAGGGTAGTGGCTACTGCTATAATCTGCTGCCTTTTAAATCAAGGGGTTTTTTTATTTCTTCTTTCATCACGTTTAGGGGATCAAAGGAAAATAAAAATACCACAGGGATTCTGTTAGAAGAATATGTTGTCATTAAAGGCTCAGTGAAAAATTACAATACATTAAGATTCTGAAAAGTGTTTAATAATGGTAATATGGTGCTCGCTATTTATCATGTTACATTGGTTTTGTACAACATTTGCTCAATTTAATAGGTAAAAGATTTCGTTATGACTCCCAGCCTTTCAAACTCACTTTTTATCTCTGGATTAGGCTGGGCTCTTTCCCTTTCTCAAGTAATGATGATTCTTGAGGCCAAATAATGTCTTTGTCAGCTACTGTCTGAAAGACTTGTTGTAGGTGTGTGCAGATAGAAACTGAGGACATTACATGGCCCCACAAATCTTTATTTCAACTGATGACTGGCAAAAGAAAAGACTAGCTTTCAAAGCCCAACCTCTATTTTAAGGGGAGAGAAATAGCATTTTATTTGTAAACAGTAAAAAAAAGATATCAAACCAGTGATATGAAATAAATATGGAGCCTCAGATGTTGTTTCTAAAAAATCATTTTTAGAGTAGAATCATATTTTAAGTGAATTAACTGAATGCTTCTACAATGAGAGCTCTGAAATCCTTTACCTTGAAAAAGTAAATCAGGACATAAAGCACTCATTTTATAAAGCACTCATTTATTACTATTCTTAGTACCAGGACTCTTGAGAAAAAAATCAATTGGAAGAGGAGGAAAAAATAGCATTTGAAACTGTACACTATACTAACCCAAATTCACACGGGCAGGGAGAGAAAACAATTATTATACCTAAACGAGACAGAAGAGGGATTTCCAACCTGTTTCAGTGACCCTTACCTCCTATTAAGTACTGCCTTCTGGAGCCGTTGCATTTTTAAGAGGCCAACTGCATGCACAGTGGGCACATCTACACATGCTATTAAAATTGTAAAGGCTTACTGTGCAGTAAGCCTTCCCTGGGGGCCCCCTGCAGCAGCCAGGGGGAGCTAGCCAGAGGCTGGCAGGGAGCATGGAAGCTAGCCCCAATGTGCATGGGGCCAAGAGAGCTCTGCCTGCTGCAGCAGCAGCCATCTCCTGGCCCTGTGCATATCAGGATGCCCAGTGGGGCTTTCTCATGCAGCTGGGAGCTCATCAGGGCTGTCACACTTCACTGTTTTGTGTAGATACGTCCAGTGAGGATTCAACGTAAGTACAGGTTACAGCCTCTGGCCCAGTGGAGAAGCTGCAACTCAGACAAAGTGCTTCTGATTTTTTTTTCACCCCTGCTCAAGCCCCAGAACTTTGCAAATGCACCAAAAGAATTCACAAAAGTTCTCTGTTAGATGACTCTTCCTAAAAGTATAAAGTGCAGGGAAAGGAGTGGGAAATTAATTTATGACCCTAATCATCTTACTATCTGGGCAACTTCCAGTACTGCATTAAGTGATGCCATTAACATCTGTCACATGCAGTGCATTTTCTCACTTATCTTCTCCCAAGGAGGGAAATCATACATGCATTATAGTGTTTAGCAGCTTTTCTTCCCCTGTCATTTGTCTCTTTTGAAAATTAATAATTGATTCATACTTTTTTCAAATAATCAATTCTGTGACTGGGATTAAAACTTTTTTTTTCTTGTACTATGATCAATTCAAGTTGTGTCAACATTGCACATAATTGGAAATATAACACTCAACACAGTAATTTTTTTAAAAATCAATTTGGTTCAATTATCCAAATTAACAATAAAAACAGAAGGCACTTTGCATAATGTGGGGTGGCAGAACTTGCCATATAACCAGAACACTGAATTTGGGGCTTTCCTAGTCTGAAATCACATTCGTAGCTTGGTCCCACTTTTCTCACATTATGGCAACAACAAAGCCCTTTCTCAATGTGAACTCAATTGGTTTCCAAACCATGTTTTGGGAATGTGGCATCTGTGGAAATGTCCCCCCATGGGCTTCTTTTGTAACTAGTTTTATATCTCTTTCCCACTTGCAACTTTCACAAACATGGAAATAAAAAGGGCTTAATTGTGGTCTGGCAACTGGACCTTTGTGAAAGGTGGTGCACAGATGTGCTATATCAAGAGTAATTTAGTAAATTATGACTCGCAAAGATACATTCCCTTCTATGCTCCCCAATTGCTCACCTGGCACTTACCAGTTGAAGGTTCCTATCCCATCTTAGAGGCTCCTTAGCTGCACTGATCCATACATTGGGAGCCTGGGTTCTAGCCATTCCCCACATTTTCCACCCATTTGAATGACTTAATTACTGCTACATATTTATGCCCAACTTCTGGTAAGATCATTCAGGACCTTGGTGAATCTTACTCCTCCTTGCAGACCCATCTGACCATGCAGGCTTGGCCCACTAATAATCAGTCCTATTACTAGTCTATTCTTTTGATATAATGAGTGTCCTTTTGCTGATTTTTCTCCTTGTATGCCTCTCACCCTATCCCATCCCATCTCTGCCATCCCTAAGTCCTAGCTTAGTTTAGTGTTTCTTTAGTTCCGTCCTGAAATCTATTGTGAACTCAAAGCAACATTTGTTATGTGTAGCAGAAGTCAATATTCAGAAGTGCTACAAAGATATTGTACTATCAGTTACAGTGATTACAGCTGCAACTAGATATTTTCTCCTGACAAAATTATAAATGCATAAAAACAAAGCAAAGAGCTCTTTTACCTCCTAATGGGTAGGAAGAATACTTAGTTAAAATCAGAAAGATTTTAAGGTGCAGACTAACAACTATTGTGGGCTGATCTTGTGCACTTACAAACCAGTAATAACTTTATGGAGTAAAACTACTCTGGATTTATGCTAATGCTCTTTGTTTTTTAATTTATTTTTTATCCACTGTGTATGCCATCCTTCCCAACAAAGGTTTAGAGCAGCTTGCAGTAAGAGAACAGAACTTAGAAAAAAGAAGAGTGAGAAGAGAACAAAGCAACGTAAAAACAGGAACTAGGAAATCACTATAATGTAGACACGCACTAAGCAATATCTCAGCCTACTTTGTTTGCTGTCCAAATAGGAAGGTCTTATAGCACTTGGGCACTATTGGGCCTCAAGAGCGACCAAGTTCCAGAGCTAGGGAACAACTGCTGAGAAAGACCCCCTGGATGCGTCTAGACATGTGCACATGCCTCTTGCAGCATCTCAAACCCTTTTGAGATGCTGCAAGAGGCACATGCAGGAACAAAAAAATGTTCCCCATGCTGCAAATTTACAGTACAGGGGCAAAATTAGATACCTAGATATCTAGGGGTCAAAAAATACCCTGGGGGAAAAAAGTGGGGCAAGGCACAGTCCTGGACCATGCCCTGGGGCAACCAGAGGCTTGGTCCTCCACAGAGATGCTCTGGTAGCTAGCCAGAGCATCTCTATGGGTGGCCCTTGGCCCTGTGCTGAAGCACGCAGAGCAAGCAGCAGTGCAGGCTGCAGGAACCTGAACCCAGCTTTGTGGCAGGTAAGTAGGAGGTTTGTGGGGCTGGAAAAGGGGAGGAGGGGACCATGGGGGGGGCCACCAAGCCCCAGAACCCATTCATTCCCCCAACTCCCCATTGGTTCCCCCCACCCCGTTTGTTCTCTCTGCTCCCCATTCATTCCCCCAACTCCCAGTTCATTCCCTCTACCTCCATTTGTTCCCCCCACTCACTCTCCCACCCAGGCTCAGCCCTAGCTCCAGCCCCAGCACCCTGCACTCACTGGCAATAGAAGCAGCAGTCAGGGCCACTCAGAGCCTCATGGCACAGCCCCACTGGGCAGGTGGGCAGCAGGGCTCAGCTCCAGCCACCTGGCACTTGTGCTGCTGCATTGCGTAGGTGCTGCCCAGCTCAGCAGGGCACTGTGCGCTTTCTTGCAGCTCCAGGCCACTCAAACTGAGCAGTGCTGAGCCCTGGGTGGCAGCTGCAGCACCCACAAGCTGCCAGACAGTGCACAGTGCCCTGACATGCTGGGCTGCACCCAGTCGATGCAGCAGCTGCAGTGTGGGTGCTAAGTGGCCAGGGCCAAGCCTTGCTGCTCCACACCATGTGGCAGGGCTGTGCCATGAGGCCCTGAGCACTGCTGCTGCTGCTGGTAAGCTACTGGTGGTGTGGGAGGCTGGAACTGGGTGGGGAAGTGATGAGGGGGCAGGAGCTGAGTGGGGGAGCAAATCAGGAGGCTGGAGTCAACGAGGGGAAATCCTGAATAATCTCCAGCCTCTTGCTCATTCTCTTGCTCATCTCCAACCTTGGGAGGGCTAGAGATGGAGCAGGAGAATGATCAGGGGGCTGGGGATGAGCAAGAGAATGAGCAGGAGGCTGGAGACCAGCCCCTGGAGATGAGCTGGAGATGTTCGCCTGCTCATTTTCAGCTTCTTGCTCATTCCTTTGATCTTCTCCCTGCTCCTCTCCAAAACTTGACTATATTTTACCACAACTAGACAACTCTCTTAATGACCTGATAACCCCTAGGATTCAGAAGCATTTATATCCACTTTTGAGAAAGCGCTGTGCAGTGAAACAGCTTTCTGATTTTTGTTTCTTCAAAAAACGCACAGCAAAGAATATTGTCCTATTTCTTCCCTCTCATTCTTTAACAGCTGCAGAACAAATTTAAGTCCCAGAAGGTTATGTTACAGTCTTTTTCCCTTTACTCTTCACTCATCTTCTTGTGGTCATCAGCTATTCCTTTGGCTATAAGCAAACTGAGATAAAACTGTGTGAATAGGAGCATGAAATAATAACAACAACAATAGCATGAAATACAAGAAAAAACAGATTGAAACTTACTGTTAGCATATCATCACATTTCATATCTGGCATATCTCCATCTTCACTCTTGTTGTAGAATTTACGGAAAAAATTGAATGCTACTACTGTGTACAAGTATACTACTACTGCCAATAATCCCACTGTTAAGACAAGCTAGAAGATAAAATTGTACAACAGATATGTTAACATTGTGAAAACAAGAAGTACCATTTCTTTTGTTATAATAAAGAGAGAGAAACAATAAACTATTTACTCGCTAAAACCAAATTGTCTTATTCTCCCACTATTGTCCGTCACTCCTGGCATTTCAAAAAAGAAATGGATGCTTTAGTTTAATACAATGTCAGTGCATTCTATACTAGGTTAGAACATTTCAATTAGCTCATTAATGTTAAAATGGTTTAAGATTGAGGCACTAGGAAAATATTATAAATAAGCAACAATGCTAATTCATATATGACATACAGTAAAGACAGATATATTCCCTATGTAAAATTCAGGATAGTTTACCAATTCATTTTAGTGCAACTAGGTGCCTCTACATGTGCGCTTTACTGTGGAGGAAACTAATTAGCTTCGGAGTAAAGTGTCACAGTCTACACATACACTGGTATTAGGGCATGGATTAATTAACTCTGCCATAGGATAGTACTGTTGGGCACAGTACTAGTTTATGGTAGAGTTCTTATATGCAATTATACATGTGTAGACCATGACAGGGGCTAGCTGGGGCAAAAGGGTGCTAAAATTCAGGGGCTGTCTTCCAGCTAGCTATGCACTGTAACACCCTTGTGTCCCAGCTAGCCCTTCTGCCACCCACAAACTGCACCAGAGTTTATTGAATCACACTAATTGCACATGTAGATGCACTCACAGTTATTAAATATTCAATGTTTACAACATCTTTGCTTTTGTGTTTGAAATGTTAAAAAAATAAAGTACCTCATGAATGTAATATTTGAAATGGAAGGCAACTTAACTTTGCTCTGGAGTCAAGGCTTTAAAGCAATCTTTACATTTACTAAATAGGTATATTTAAGTAGTATTCCTCGACCATTATGTAAATTAGAGCTAATATTTGAAAGTATTAAAACTGCACATCAGAAGGACAATTATGAAGACTTAGCTTGCAAAATTAGGTAGGCCTTTGCAATTACACAGGAAAGTGTCAAAAAAAATGTTTTTACTTAGCCTTGTGGCATTTTAGTAGCAACACTATTCCACTTACATCTTAAGAATCTGAGGCAAAACTACATATTCATTTTAGCATAATAGTATAACCTCTTAGATGGTTATGTGATAAGCAGGGATCTTAGCTTTCTCTGAGAAAAAAAATCCAAATTTTTCCCGTTTAAAAACCCACCTCATATCCACATTTTCCATGATTAAAATGAAACACCACTATATATATGTACACACACACATATACTAGTGGTGTTTCATTTTAATCATAGAAAAATGTGGATTTTGGTGTGGGGGGAGGGTTAATCGGAAAATGTTGGCCTTTTTTTTGATTGGAGAAAATCAGGATCCCTGGTGATAAAAGGCATCCCTCAGCTCTCAGTTGCTACAGCATTAAAAAAATATTGCCTTGAGCCTTGCTGAAAACAGTTTCAACTGCCCACAGCTATCATCTGGAAAAATAACTATTAGCACATTACTTTCATAACTGACTTTCAAAGTTCTTAATTACTGATAATACCCTCAAATGTTATGTTCTTTACTTGTAAGGGATTAAATCCAGAGCTACTTATCTGGCCAAGAATATTTACCCATTTATAGAGTTGTGACCTAGAGACTAAAACTTAACCCAAGTATTCTGAATGCAACTCAACTATGTGCATCTAAATAAGCAATTCTCAATCAGGAAGACAGAACGCCTTAGGCTGTCACAGGATCCTTTAAATGGTGCCGTGGGATGCTGTGCAATATTAGCACTTTTAGGTGTTCAAGGATTGATATAACACCACTCCAACCTTATTACTCTGTAGTATAGTAAAGGCTATACTATAGGCATCACTATAAAAAGCATAAAACCAATTTTAATATAGGTTAAAGTTTACATGTACTCATTTTGACAACAGGTGGTCACAAATCTAGGGTGACCAAATTCTCCTTTCAGTTATACGGCTGATCCAGATTTATATCTGACTTCCTGTTCTATCAAAACACAACAGCTAAGATGATAAATTTATTAAATAATAGCAAGAGGTGTCAGTCTTTTACATACAATTTCCTATTTTACATGCCACATCTATGAGCATGACTTATCACATGCATTAAAAAAAAAAAGTAACTGTATGGTGACATTGTAGCAGCAGTATGAACAACCTATATCTTTTTAGAATACAGCACTAATACACTAAGGCTTCAGCATTTTTATAACACCTGGGTTCTCTGGTACCTGTAACATACTAGTAAATCATGGATTATCTCCCCACCAGAGGCTACGGTATATTCTTGCTTACACTATATTTTTAATGGCACATACTGCAGAGGGTTCATTTGTATTGCTGTTTGAGATTCCTAGTCTGCTGTGTAAGCCAAATTTAATTAATTACATTAAAAAAAAACCTCTCAATTGCTCTAGGCCCTTGTAACAATACTGCAGTAAATCAACTTGTCCTTTTGGAGAGTTGCTTCGAGGTGGCCTGTTGTATAATCATCTGTCAGAGACAGAGTTCAGCTCCCAGAAGTCACTGCAGAAGCTATGAGAATTTATTCACATACTTGTTTTAACAACTGCTTTAAACAAATTTAACTCAAAATTACAGTAGCTGCTCAGAGTTGTATGAAATCTACAGCACATGGAATGAAGGCCCATAAAAGGGCAACTACTGCATGACAAATACTTGAGATTTGGAGTGGACATTTCCTCATTAAATTTTGCCCTCTAAACATGTTCTTCACATATTTCTTTGCAGGCCTGAATACAGAGAAGCTACCACATATAAGCTCCAGATCATTCTATATCGTCCACACAAAAAGATAGTTTTACCCACCAAGCAGAGCTTCCTAATCCAAAATGTTTAAGGCAACAATAAGGAGCAGTTATTCTTTACTTGCCATTTCCCAGGTAAGTCAACCTTCTCTTTCTGTGGGCCATTCCATAAAAAGAGAGATCTTCTCATGGTCCACTCAACATCCTTGAAACTACCTTACTTCACTCTCAAAAACTTTAGGTCAGGTCTCAGCTCCATGGAGAACAGTTTGATAATCCCTTTTCTAGACCCATCTACACATGCACTTTAATACACATTAGCCTATTTTAATGCGCATTAGTGTCACAAAAAAGTGTGCTTTCACTAATGAGCATTAAAATAGGTGAATGTGCCTTTTTCTAGTACCTCACAATGGAGGTACTAAATTTAATGTGCATTACCAAAAGCGCATTAATGAACATGTAGATGAAACCTCTAGATAAAATATCTGATTAATCTCTTTTCAATGTTTCTGAAGAAGTACTTGGGCCTTCCCACCACATACTTTGGACTTGTTGCATCTAAGTAGGTGATTGCCAATGAAAACTCATGCCTCTCTGAACCAGTTAATCTTTAAGGTGCCACCCTGCCCTACCTTCTGTCTTTCTCCAGTATCTGTCTGAAACAACTTCAATATTAATAGACTGGAAGTCAATTTTTTTACCAGTAGGGAAGCATAGTTCTGATGCAACCTGCCATTCAGAGCAGGGGAGAGGGGACATGGTAAAAAACTAATTACTTTTAAGATGGAACCTCATCAATTTATTAACAGGATTATCTGACATGGTTGCCTGAAACAGCAGACTGAAATTAATGACCAGGAAGTCATGGTAACGACTATTTCATATCCTAGAGACCAGTTCCTCTACTGACATACATCTAACTTCATAATTAGAGTATATATCTACTGTCACACATAGACAACTGATTTTACTAGTCAGTCTGAATTCAGGCATGGGTGGAAACAAGCTATACACTCCTTTAACAAACAAAAAAAGAAAGTAAGAGATGAAACTTGATACCTGTTTGCCATTGTGGGTCACTGATGAAAGGATAGTTCGTAGTGTCTTGAATCCCATTGCAATATCAAGGAGATGAGCAGCAAAGAAAAAATTGTTGTAATGGCCTAGGACTGACATGGTCATGTACCAGGCTAGATAAAGGAAAGACTAGGGGAAAAAAAGCAAAGAGAATTACATTATCAAAATGAGAAATGAAATCCATAGTCTTTATGTCCAGCCTTTGTTTTCTCACAAAGCCAAAGAAAAATATTTTAATGCCACTCTATTGGGTTTACAGCTGTGTAATACAGTTATGTTTGCTAAAAGCTTGTTGGGCATTAGTGAAAGGACATTTTTGTCAGAATATGGATGAAATAATAATGTTTCAACAAAGATTAAATGGGTCACAGGAAAAGATTCATTTTCATTTTTTTTTCATTTAAAACATATAAAATTAGTTTTTAAACTACTGAAACCCTTGTTTTCAACATTTAAACAAACTTATCTAAAATATTAAACAAAACATTTTGAGATTGTTGGCTTGAAATATAACAGTTGAGTAGTGAGATATATATAAAAAAAAAAATCACAAAACATTGATATTGTGTGCCCTTGGATGTGATTCAGAACTGGAACTTTTTGATATTTTCAGATTTTTCAAAGGTTTGGAAAAGTATTTCCTTCTCAGCTCTTACGTTTGCATCTCTGTTTTTAAAGAAAACATACTGGGTTTCTAACAACTGAGGGGTAGTTAGCCACGTTAGTCTGAAATCAAGCAAAACACATGGTAGTTTTGCAGCATACAAATGAAATTAGAAATATATAGCATACGCTTTCATGAGCCCAAGCTCACAAAACCTTATGCTATACATATCTGATTTAGGCTATATGCAGATGTTCCTGGGACCCAATCTACAATCACACAGCTTAATTTTAAGTGGCATGATCATAGATCAGGTCCCTGCTTGTACACGTGTTCACTGGTGGCAGGAGCTGTGCCAGGAATGAAAGTTCGTGGGGACAGAGTAGCAGGTCCACAGTGTTTTCGCAGGTCCACAGAGAGTGGGGCAGGTTAGCCATCCAGGGGCACTAAAAATAGCCAGTCAGAGTTGGAGTTGATGGTAGGAAAATCACAGCCCCAGTGTGTGGTCTAAATATGTACATACAGTCAGTAAATCAGGCTAACCCATGCCCAGTCTAACTTAGTGCACCTCTCAGGTGCACTAGGTTAGATCAGGCCAGGCATTTTTTTCCTGATCTAACCTCCCCAAATGTATGTACAGTTCAGCACTTAGATTAACCGAATCCTACTTAGGTCCATCTAAGTTTAGGGTACATACCTTTAGTTGTTCTATAACATGCCAATCTAGCTTGCCTTCTTAAAACTCTATTTATAAAAGGAGTATTATGCGTTTATTGTTATTCTGTTTGCTCCTATCATAGACATTAATGGCATCAATAAGTAGTTCCAACTCCAGAGTCCAACTGTTGCATCATAGTGTTTTATATTGGCAAAAGAGGGTCTTATAACTTTACTCAAGAGTCAAGCAAGAGAAACAGATAGAATGTAGGGGGAGAAATATCTATCTTCATAATGATAAAAGAGGTAAGGAAAAATGATGAGATATATAAGTTAATGGATGTGTACCAGGGCCTGTTCATCCCAGGGGAAGGTCCTGCAACTGCCCTAGTGTACAGTCCATCTCATAACATACAAACCATCACCTGCTGTTTTTATAATACTTATCTCCTTCCAGTTGTGAAGAGTAACCTTCCAACCCTCTTTTCTACCCCTTTAGACCTTGATTTCTAATGGCCTTCAGCATCTGTTTAACCTGGGCTTCCCACACACCAGGCTGTTTAATCCTTCAGGACCCTTAGGGGAGACATGTTCCAACAGACTTCTTTTCCTTGCAGGCGTTCAGCCTGTGAACTCTGGGGGATTATCATCTGCCCTCAGAGTATGCTTTTTTCATCAGGTTCTTCTATACCCAAATCAGGCTGCTGTCTTTATCCCCCAAATTTGCCCTGATTCTTCGTTGCTTTACCCCAACCCTTATTTTTTTCCACAAAGAGATGTGGGCTCCATTTTGCAGGGATGAAACTGGGCCCAAATCCTTAAAGTCCAGCTTAGCTTATGACTTGATGAAACATTAAGGTCAGATATATTTAAAAAGCTATTTTTTTACAAATACAGATGAACAGTAAATAAATTCCATCCTGTGCCAAATCCTACTTCCAGTTACATTGGTATAAAAAATACGATCATCTATGCTCATGTGCAATAAAATCAGCTTTACATCAGCTATGCTCATTTGCAATTGTTCTAAGCTTCAAATATGGGATTGTTATTTTACACATGACTCAAGTTAATATAAACACCAATATACTGCAGTACATATATTCTTTTCTTGTTTTCCCAAAACTGATTGTTGAAATTTTCTGTGCACAGCTGAAGGGCACAAGAAAGCAACCCAGAGAATGACCCCAAAAGAACTAATTGAAATTTATTGAAGTAAAGAGAGTTTCTATAATAGTTTCTATGTAATTTAAAAGAATTTACAGATAAAAATTAAAATAAGGCAGTTAGACTTAGAGTAGTAAATTGCAGGTTACCAATAGTATAAAAAGTCATAAACTCTCATTATTTTTTTTACAAACTCCTCATGATTAGAAGACTGCTTGCTACTTTATAGCACAAATACTGAAAGTAACTCACATTGTCAGTGAAAACAACTCCCAATTTCCACATCTGATACTTCACGTCAATGGAATTTAGCCTGGAAAAAAAAATGTATGTGTATAGACAGACAAATAGAGTTGAAGGGATGGGAGGGAGGAAAGGGGGAGAGAGACAGACAGACAAAATACAATGAAGAAATGATATAGTATTTGATCTACAGCGAAACCATTATCCTGTATATGCTGCAGTTGACCTATTTTACTATAGACAAAACAATACCAGAGCATGCTTGCAATTTATGCTATTATTGTAGGATGCTCCATCTGAAACACGAGCAGGAAAATATTTAGCAAACAAACCTCATGGGGCCGTATCATATTGAAATCAGGAATGTATATTCTTGAAAATGAAAATGGCATAAGGATATAAAAATGAAGGTGAGAACTAGTGAAAGAAAGAGGATGGGAGGGTTCTTTCACAGAAGAGAAATAATTGAGCACATTTAACAAGGAAAACAAATGATCCCCAATTACTGTGGACTAAATTGTGCCCTTTGGGCACATTATGAAGCTCTACTGAAGCCAGAGAAGCAGCAAAGAAAAATCTCTGAGAATTACAGTGTGCCTCCTGGGGCTCCCTAAGTACAAAAAATGCTACACACCTCTTTATGGGTGCCATCTGTAAACCCTCTATGAGGCCATCCCTTTCTTCTTATCAGTACAAATTAATACATGAGTAGCTTTTCCAGTATCTCTCCAGCTGACTCCCCACCCCAGAGCCATTACCTCACTGAGCATCTGGTGCCATAAGGAGGAGTAATGATGCAACAATCTCTAAATTCCTTTGAGCACAAGGTTTATGGTTCTGTCTGGCCAGTTTTAGGCTGCACAAAAGCATAGGAAGTTCCTTACCACCTTTCTTCAAAAATGCACATTCAAGTGAAGAGTAGTCAGAATCTAACCTGTACATGTAGGCTGTATTCCTTTCCCCTCCTGTTCATCTATTTGTTTAGTTTTTGTGACGTTGGAAACTGTGCACAATGGGCAAGAATTCTGGGAACCTTGCCCAACCCTGAGGGGGCCAGGCAGAAAGCCCAGGGAGAGAGGGAATACTTACCTGGAAGGCAGGGAGAGCTGGGACCATGGCAATGCATGGCACTGCTGTGCCAGTTTTTGAGTACACTGTCAATCAAACTAGGCAGTGCATGGATGATGCTGTCAGCCACTGGCACCACCAAGGAAAATTTAAAAGGCACTAGCAATGCTGAAGAGAGGGGGCAGGCAGTTGCCACTGGGCAAGAGGCTGGGGCAGAGGGTGTCTCAAGATTCTGAGGCAGTGGGACATTCAAGCGGCAGGGGCCCATGGAAGAAGGGCAGGAAAGCCCCAGCACACTGGTGTGGGGATTCTGGCTCAGCCCTGCTCAAGGGCTCAACCCACTCAAGAGGAGAAAGATATAAAATAGAAAAGTCAAAAGGGGTCATCTAAGCAATTTATAGCTAGTCCCTCCATAATGGAGGCTTCCTCCTTTATTTGCTTTAATTATAATTTTGAGGGGCACACTAGGCCAGTATCCTGGGGGTCCCTTTAGCCAGGACCAGCTCTGAGCATAGCACCCAGGGAGTGAGGGCAAGACAAGTGGCCATAAGGGCACTGTGTAAACTTTACTGAGTCTGGCAGCTACCCACTGACACATCAGATGACTGGACATAAGGTAATGGCAGCGGAGTGAATCTGAAAGGCTGAAGGTACTGCAAGAGATCATAAAGCATCACCACCATCAGTTAGCGTGTGGACAGGATGTAGGGGGGGCAGAGCCCCAAGTTCAGCCGCATTCAGACTGTGAGTACCCCTAGAGGGGGATACATTGTTACACCACTGAACCCTTCCTTAAAGATTTTGACAACATTAAAGACGTGGCAGAAGAGTTAGGGGAGAGGACCTGCTTAGGGTGCTCTCGAGCTCAGCTGATGATGATGGGTATAAGTAAGAGAACAAGTGAGAGTCTTCCAAGGATCTTAATAGTGAGTCCACAGGTGGCTCCATAGCCCAATTCTAGATCCACATGTCTTGTTGCAGTGAGGACAGATGTTTCCAGGAGGGATGGGCACTGTGTCGCTGCGTTGGATGTTCTGATGTTCTTTTTGCCTACTCCTCTTTTCCTCTTCTGCCTGTTAATGACCTGTTTCAAAGTGTTGACATCCTTCCCAAAAAGTCTGCTTCTATTTTGCTAAGTCTTAAACAAGAGTCTCCCAAGTGTTGATGTCAATATTACACCTCTTAATGTTTGCCTTCAGGGTGTCTTTGAAGTGCTTTTTTTGCCTTCCGCTACTTTGCTGACCTTCTTTCAGCTGTGAGAAAAAGATTCTCTTTGGAAGGCAGGAGTCAGGCATGCAAACAACATGACCTGTCCAACAAAGTTAGTTTTGGATGATCATGGCCTCAGTGCTGTTGGAATTTGCTTCGGCCAAGATGCTGATGTTTGTGCATCTATCCTCCCAGCTAATCCAAAGGATCTTGCGAAGGCACCATTGGTGGTACTTTGTATGTGGCACCACTTCTGTATGTGGTCCAAGTTTCTGAGCCATACAGCAGAGTTGGAATGACAATGGCTTGATAAACCAAGAGTTTCATTTCAGCAAGGATGTCATGATTTAAGAAGACTCTCTTACTCAGACATCCAAAGGCTGCGCTTGCACATTTCAAGTTGTGTTGTATTTCTGGCTCAATGTCTGCCTTTGCTGAAAGACGGCTTCCAGGAGAGAAGTGATCCACATTCTCCAGCAATTCTCCATTGATTTGAGTGGAGGTGGGGTTTGTTTCTCCATTTGAAGCAGGTTGGTAAAGGACTTGCATTTTCTTGATGTTTAGAGTTAGGCCAAGACTCTCGTAGACTTCCGAGAATACATTACAAATGGTTTGGAAGTCCTATTCAAATTGAGCAAAGGCAGCATTGTCATCTGCATACTGGAGCTCCATTATAGATGTTGTCATGGTCTGTATTTTGGATTCGAGTCTGTTTGAGGTTGAAGATTCTTCAGTCCATCCTATACACAATTTCAATTGCAGGTGGGAGCTTTCTGTCAACAAGGTGCATTATGGTGGAGATGAAGACGGAAAACAAAGTTGAAGCGACGATGCAACCTTGATTCACTCCAGTTTTCACCCCAAAAGGCTCTGTTTGACTCCTGTTACTGAGAACCCTGGCTGACTTGTTGTTGTGGAGAAGGCTCAGAACACTGATGAACTTATTTGGGCAGCCAATTTTGAACAAGTTTTTCCATAGGGCATCACGGTTTACAGAATTGAAGGCTTTAGAGAGGCTGATGAAGGCCAAACAGACAGGTTCATTTTGCTCATGACACTTCTCCTAGATTTGAAATGCTGTAAAGATCATGTCCACCATTCCTCAAGATGGTCTGAAGCCATTTTGAGATTCTGGAAGGATTTCTTCCCCATTTGGGAGAAGGTGGTTAGCGAGGATACAGGCAATGACTTTCCCAGCAGTGGCCAACAATGAGATGCCTCGGTAGTTACTGCAGTCAGCTCTGTCCCCCTTCCTGAAGATAGTAACAATCATGACATCCCTTAAGTTGCCTGGGATTTCTATCCTTGTTCCAGATTTCAAGTATGAGGACATGAAGCTGCCACGTAAGTTGTTCTCCTCCTCCTTTGAAAACCTCTGTGGGTATTCCATTAACACCAGCTGCTTTGTTATTCTTCATTTTCCACTCCCAACCTGTACCACGGTAGGTGGCAAACTGAGGTCTTCTCTAATTGCTTTTTGCAGAAAGTTGTTGATCTTATCTTCATTGACAGTTGAATCATAATTCAGAAGGTCCTAGAAATGTTCTTTTCAGCGAGCATTGATGGATTCACTGTCTTTCAGGAGTGTTGTTCCATCCTTTGATTTTAGAGGATTAAGGCCTTGAGTGCCAGGGCCATACACAGCTTTGGTAGCACTGAAGGAGCCATGAGTGTCATGGATGTCAGCAAAATGTTGGATTTGTTTTGATTTCTGAATCCACCACTCACGCTTCAGTTCTCATATTCTCCTCTGCATCTCTGATTTTAATTGTTGGTGTGAATTTTTCTTGATGGCAGAGTTGATGTCATTCTGCCAGGCACACAAAGCTTCCCATTTCCTGTTGATGAGACCTTGAACTTCAGTGTCATTTTTGTCAAACCAGTCTTGATGTTTTCTGGTCTTGTATCATATGATATTTTCACAGGATGAGAGAACCGCTATCTTGAGTCCTCTCCAGTACTCCTTGACTCCTTCTGGGTGCTCTGTTAATAGTGTCTCATTCAGGAGTTGCTGGAATTCTTTCTGCTTGAGTGGGTCCTTCAAGTACTCAATGTTTAACTTGTGCCTGATCTGCTTCCTTTGCATTCTTCATTTAGGAGCAATCCTAATGGACATGCAGGAACAGATGAGGCGGTGGTCAGTCCAACAGTCATCAGTGCTAGTCATGGCTCTTGTAAATCAGGACATCCTGATTTCCAGGATTAATATGAGTCACCAGTGCAACAAAGCAATAGGCAGAGCCAACCGCACCCTGTCATGCATCAACAGGGGCATCACTATCAGGTCCAGGGAGGTCTTGCTCCCCTTCTATGCAGCGCTGGTCAGGCCGCAGCTGGAGTACTGTGTCCAGTTCTGGGCGCTGCACTTCAAGAAGGATGTGGAGAACCTGGAGAGGGTCCAGAGGAGGGCCACTCGTATGGTAGAGGGCCTCCATGGCCAGCCCTATGAGAAGAGGCTGAGGGACCTGAATCTCTTCAGTCTCTGCAAGAGAAGACTGAGGGGGGATCTTGTGGCTGCCTACAACCTTATCAGGGGCCACCAGCAGGGACTCGGGGAAAGTCTGTTCACCAGGGCCCCCCTTGGAGTCACCAGGAACAATGGCCACAAGTTGAGGGAGGACAGGTTTAGGTTAGATATTAGGAAGAACTACTTCACTGTAAGGGTGGCTGGAGCCTGGTATAGGCTTCCCAGAGAGGTGGTGCTCTCACCTTCCCTGGAGATCTTCAAGAGGAGACTGGATAGGCACTTGGCTGCGGTCTTATGACCCCGCCCACCCCCAGTGCTCCTTCCTG